CAGATAATTAGGAATTCAACACAGATAATGCATTCTGGGAATGGGAGTGTTCTTTTACAATGATCCACAAAATTTCACTTATTAAAACAATGAAAAATTTAAACAAAATATGTATTTGAATTTCTGTTCATTTTATTTTCTACATACATAAAATTCAAATTGCAATTCTGCATCCTGTTTGCAATATCAAATAAAATAAAATTGTAATTCAAATTCTGAATTCAGTATTAATTCAATTCAGAATGGCATACATCCCTGCTACTCAAATACCAGTGATCAAATAATGGAATTGATTAAACCTAATAAAATGAGAAATGCCAAGCAAACTCTCTAATTAGCTACAAACTAGCAATGACACATATTAACATACTAAAAGTAACTATTAAAAATGCACTATGAAAGTGTAGTAATATATAGTGTTAGATGGAAGAGCAAAAACAGACGACACTGATCTATAGCCTAAGCATCATATAGAATAAATGTCATCTCAATCTAAACAACTCTTCGTTCAGCACAGTATCAAGCCCCAAAACTGACAACATAACAAAAAGTCCAATTGAACAGCACATTAACCATTAACAGCAACATTTTAACTCAAATATTTCATCTATTCCATACGATTTTACTTTCAAGTTCACATTCTCCCTTATCTGCAGTCAATGGCACTGAATTATCTGCAATGATCTAAATCACAATTGTACAATAGGAGATTATTTTTCCTCAGGAGCTTTCTGGTTAGACTGCTCGACAGGAGCGTAAAGATCCGAATCAATTACCGAGGTCAGGCTGGCCTTAGGAGCACTTCTTAAAAAGTCTTATTCTTGTTATGCAAGCCTGCTCAGTATATTAGAGCTTTCGATGGACAGTGTATAATGTATGATACATTAATCTCCACTATTTCAATTTCTGAGACTGGGGCTGTAAAATTGTTATGCTGCATATCTAATTCTCTTTTTTTCCCCGTTCCCCCTGAATAGCCGATTTATGCCTCTCTCAGAAGCTGGGGTGCAGCTCCCATTGTGGACCCTATGGTACATTAAGAACAGCCAACATCAGCTCTCAAATCTTATCTTGTTAAATCAGACAAACGCAAGTGGCTGAAAGGGAGAGAATTAATGGGAAGGATGCTGGAGGGAGAGAACGGAGCGTTTCAATGCAGTGTGTGTGTGTGTGTGAGGGGAGGACGCGGCTGAGTGAAGATGGGTATCTGCTGTCAGGGTTGCAGTAACACTGCTGGCGTCTTGGGTTCATCTCCCTGCCGTTTGCTGTGTCGATTGTGCCGTAGCTGATGTATCTAATTCCTCTAAAAGTGTGATAGTTTATGACACAGAAGATGCGGAAAGTGTGTTCAGAGACCCTTGCGATGAAATATCATATTGTGGTCTACTGTGAAAAAGCGAGAAAGACAGAAAACAAGAATGTAAATATGTAATTGATGGGTTTTGGTTCAAATCTCTTGGCTAACCACTGCATGCTTACCTATGAAAAGTTGACTTGAACCATGTCTCTCTACCCACAATCCACTTCTAGTACTCTCTTCCTCTCTCTCAAGAGCCGTTCATACCAAGGATGATAACTATCAAGTTTGAATAATTTACCTAATTCTACAAGAATAGGGAACTTCACACCACACATATATTCTACTGTAAATTTAAGTTTAATCTGTAAAATGTAATGTTTCTACTGTATTCTTTATGATAAAGTTCTGGCAAGTTCAAGTAAACTTTTTTATCTAATTTTTTAAAGGCTATGGTCACAGATACAAGCTCACTGGTCTTTATAAAAACTGTAAGAATGACTGCCATGATAACCAATGAAAAAGAAACAATCCAACAATTTTGTAGAGCAAGAACAAACAAAGCAGTCTAGTCAAGTGATTCCCAACCAGGCATACATGTACCCCAGGGGGGTCCTTAAGCAGGTTCCAGGTGGTACTTGGATTCAAATTTTGCTTTGTTAAACTTGTGTCTTTGGTGTCTGTAAGTCATAACTTCTCATTAAAACGTGTCCAAATGACAGAGAATTTGTTCGTGGGAGATATTTCATACTTGAGCTTCTGTGGTATTTAAATTCCACCGTACAGAGAGTGCAAATTAGTCTGAGCACTTTTGTTAAACATCTCATCTGGGTTTCATTTATAAATACATTTGCTCTTAGTCTTCCTAGAAAGTTTCTCTTCAACTATCCACTCAACTGTAGACAAACAGACTCATGTGTCTTATTAAACAGAGTGGAAACTACTTGGTCAGTCTCTTTCTCTGACAGTACTGATTGTTATTAGTTGATCTTAATAATGATCACTTTAACTCTCTAAAGTCTGAAGCATTTTTAGGACCCTGGCATTTGTGCTTATTTCAGTAAACTATGATTTTGAGACTATAATTTTTTCTACAAAATTATCTCGGAATGAAGGCCAACCTACCAACTCACATAAAAAAAAAATATATATATATATATATATATATTGAGGTAACTTTAGTAACCAGGTACAACGCCGCAACATGCGGCAAAAGGTATCTTTTCGATTTCATCTTTTACATTTTTGTTCTAACCAGTCGCCACGTCAAAACATGATGAGCGACAAGGAATTCTATTTTTAGAATGGTTTCTATTTCTGCAACATTGCAGCTGACAGCTCAGGTACTGATTGTGTTTTGTATATTAAAATGGTTTAATCTGAGTATATATATATAAATCCATGACAAAGATTGAATCAGTCACTGAGTATGTATTACGAATAATGTTAAAATGGTTTATTTTATGCACTTACTCATTTCTTTATAAGTGCAAGACAGAAGTGCACTTGCAGATAGAGTCCGCCCACATGATCTTCTGATTGGCTGTGATTTGTGACTGATTTTGTGACTACATTTTGTAGATATGCGGTTGACAAACTACCTTGTTGCCAGATTTCTATCGCATTGTGTCTAGTTAGGACATGGTGTAATATTAGATAAATGGAACATTTGTGGCTTGGTATCAATGAAGGGCTACCTGAGCCTCAATGAAGGGGCCACGAGGGAATACTGGTCTAGTAAGTCTAATACACTAGTCGCAGATAAACACATAATATCTGAAATTTGGAAGTGCCTTAGTTTTACAGAGCCAGAGTACATATTCTCTTGTATCATTGCTATTCTGTCAGAAGAAGCCGTCCAGGCCCTGAGGTCGTGATACAGGGTCCACAGTGGAGGGGCTAATTTGATTGTGGCAGAACAATGGCACTGTAGCCTCCCTCCTAGAAACGCATACTAATTACAAAGCCTGCCCTTGATCCTGACCTTGGTGGGTCACTTAGCAGTTGTGATCTGTCTCTGACTCTTAATAAAGTCTCTTTCACCCTTGTGAACCAGAGTGGCAGCCTCTCCTCTCCTCTCGTTTTCTCTTTTGCTCGCTCGCTCTCCCTCTCTCTCCGTCCCTAATTACCAGCATGCTAAGCGGGCAGAGACATAATGACTGGGGCCATCACTCTCTCTGTGCCTTGCAAAACCAATTCCAGTGACAATCATTTCAAATGAACTGCAACACTCACTTGTTGTCCTGAAGGAAAAAAAAAAATTAAATGGAGAATAATATGGGTGGTACTGCAGCCTACTTGGAAAACATGTTATTGGAAATTCAGCAATATTTACACAAATTAAAAGAATGGAATTAATTATAACTGTAATGATAATAATAGAAATTTAAAAGGAAACAAACAAAAACACTACTAAAATCTACTACTACTGCTACTACTATTATTATTATTATTATATGTGACCCTGGACCACAAAACCAGTCATAAGTAGTACAGGTATATTTGTAGCAATAGCCAACAATACATTGTATGGGTCATTATTGTTTTTTTTAATGCCAAAAATCATTAGGGTATTAAGTAAAGATCATGTTCCATGAAGATATTTTGCAAATTTCCTACTGTAAATATATCAAAACTTTTTTACACCCTCAGATTCCAGATTTTTAAATAGCCAAATATGGTATTATCCAAACAAACCATACATCAATGGAATGCTTATTTAGTTTTAAAAAAACTGACCCCTATGACTGGTTTCGTGGTCCAGGGTCACATATTGGTCACACTTTATTTTAATGTCCAATTCTCACTATAAACTAACCATTAACTATGACTTTTGCCTAAATAAACTCCTAATTACTGCTTATTAATAGCTAATAAGGTAGTTTTTAAGTTTAGGTATTGGGTAGGATTAAGGATGTAGAATATTGTCATGCAGAATATGTGGTTTATAAGTAGGCCTACTAATAAACAGCCAATATGTTAGTAATATGCATGCTAATGAACAACTAGTTAATAGTGATAATTAGTCCCTATACTAAAGTGTTACCTTATTATTATTATTACATCTTTGAAAAATTTCTAGTGAATTCTACCAACTAACGTTATTTTTGTTTTCTCGTTCATAGTTCCAGTAAACACATATCTGAAAGAGTCAACATCATAAACCATGAAGACATTTGGCTGCAATAATATTAGCAAGACTTATGAACCATTAAAATTTACATTAAATAGACTGAACAACACCGAATAGCCCTACTCCCTTTACTCGTGTGAAATGACCACAGCTGACATATAATGTTTAGAAAGAATAATAATAAAAATCATGTGGTAACCTATCAATCCAACTGTTTCTTCAAGCTAAGGTAATCTTCAAGATAATTAAAAATAACAGAAAACTTTTTTTCTTCATGTGCAAATGTCATAATTTTGTTGTTATTATTATGTGTATTTGGCATAACGGTATTTTGCATCACACCTCTGCACTATAAACACATACATGCATCACTCCTGCATTATGAAGCAAATGTCATTATTTTTGCATAAAACTATTTAAAAAATGTTTTCCAGAATTTCCTCTAACATCATGCAGACATTATGAGTAGTCGATGAAGCCCTCGTTCTGTGGGCTAGAGCGACAGTGCAGGTTTAAAATGCAACCCCAGGAGGCCAAACAATAAGCCTGTGACAGGGAAGAGAGGGGGGAGTCCAGACAGTCAAGAATAATGGCTGCATCTTTCAAGTTGGATCAGGTCCTTCTGTAATGAAGAGAGGAGCTCTTTTCCTCTTGTGTGACAGCGACAGCGAGAGAGAGAGAATCATCTTGGGTCTCGGTCTCTCCGGTGTGGGATATGCAGAGATCGAATGAGGGAGAGAGAGAGAGACAGAGAGAAAGAACAGCAGGAAGGCTGGGATAATTACACACTGTTTGTGCATCCAGGAATACAAATCTGGAATGCTGGCGTGACGGTGAAGAGACTGAGTGCTGATGCTGTTTTTAATGAAAACAAAAAGAAAAGAAAAAACACCTTATTTACTCCTCTCAGATCGTTTACTGTTTTACAGTGTCACAATTAATTGTACTACAGAACAGAGGCTTGTGTTTACATATATATGTGTGTATATATAGTTTCAGATGCTTTGGTTCTCTAATTCTCTTTTTCATTTTTATTCTTCTCTTTCCAGAGTTGAAGTGTGTTCACACTTGGTAGCCGACAGCGAGAGAACAAGCCGTGATTTCAGCGGTAATCTACCCTGCGGCCCACTCCGGTTCCTTTAAAGGAGGAGACAGGCACGCACACGAGCACACATTCACGAATAAACAGCAGCCGACTCAGAGAGGATGAAAGAAAGTGAGTTCTCACTGCTAACTGCACCTCCTTGCAGTTCATTTTCAAGTGGCAGGAACAGCAGTTTACTACACATTCACATTAGACCAATGTTATTTTAGTATTATTTATATATTATTATAGTATTATTAATAATTAAAAAAAAAAAAATATATATATATATATATATATATATGTATATG